CAACAAGAGACAAGAGATACTTCAAAAGACTCTCTACTCCCTTCAAAACTCACACACACACATACACACACATGCACACGCGCACTTAAACAGATAATGAGCAATGCCGGCTGTACAAACGCTCGCCACACTTTACTGAGCGTATGTGCGTGTGTGTGTGTGTGTACGTGCGCGTCAGCAGCTGTTATCCGACCAATCAGCGACGACTGGAACGAGCATGGAATAGGCAGCGTGCGCACACACACACATACACATACACACAGGCAGAGACACTCGTATCATTTGCAATGAGCATACGAACGCCGCGTCGGCAGCTGCTGCTGCTGTCGCTCTGTCTGCAGCTCGTGGAGTTTTTGGCTGTTGATTATGCGCCGACGTCGTCGTCGTCATCATCGTTTGTGGAGTTTTTTTTTTTTTGCCAAATTTATGCGGGTGGGTCTGTCCATGGGTCCAATGGGTCTCTATCCACTAGTCTCTCAGCTGCTGCTGCTGCTTTTTGTTTTTGTTGTTGTATTTTTGTAGGTGGAGCCAGGCATACTATAATATCGTTTGATTGTTGACAAAACTTTGCTGGCTGGGCTGGCAGCGTCGTTTTTGTCTTCAGAGCCCCGAAGTTTATGCTCAATTTTATGTTTTGTTGCTGTGTATCTGGCAGATACGTACATTTTGCCCTGCTGCACACACAGAGAGCGCGCGCACAGGTTGCCACAGCGAAAGGTCGTCATTGTTGTCGTCGGGCCATCATCATCCATTGTCACCAAACTAGCGACGGTCGTTGTACAAATCTATTCGTATATGCTATCTAACCGTTAGATACAGATACAATTGTGTTAAGGGCCACGGAAGTCAACGTCAAATTTTTGATTACAATGGCCAAGTGCTGCAATTGTGAAGTGCCTAAAGTTTGACAAGAGCTCAACTATTGTAATAAGAAATCGGATAATATAAAACAAAATTGGATAATATCAAATCGATACACACACATATATATATATATCATATATATTTATTTATATATACACTCGTGCGACTGTGGATTAAACGCATTTGTTTTGGAATATGGTTGTTTTGTAAGTTCTGTTTGGCATATAAATATATACACATAAATATAATTATATATACATATGTATGTATGTATATATCGATGGCATCAGCCTCTCAAGTCCCTCGACGCCAGACATGGGCATTTCCAGAAACATATTTAAGCTCCCATTGACGCATTGACGATAAAAATTTCAACTGAAACGTAATCAGAAATGAGAGCCCATGCAATCAGGTTGTGACGACTCAGCATTACCCTGTTACCGCCTAAAATCTAGCTATATACTATGCTATCAATAGTTTCTATGGAATGAAATTCGAATGCTGATTCAATACACCATAAACTTAATATTTTATCAAGCATTACAAGTATTTTAAGTTTTAAATAATCTATTGTTTTTTTTTTTTCATATCAAGTTTGGGGCATAGAAAGATGCAAATTAGGAATGTAGAAAAATGTTTAAATTTGATTAGCAAAGTTTGGAAATGAATTGCTGAAGCTGATATATAAACGTCAGATGAACAAAGCTACAAATACACATTTCTTATTTTTTATGCAATAGAAATAATGCGTATTGCTTTGAACAGTAAAATAAGAATAATAAATAATAATAAAAAAAAAATCAATCACAACAAACATGTAAAATATATAATATAATAAACATATATGTAATATGATAGATAAAAAAGTTTTTTGGCTTGAGCAAAACTAATAATAATCATTACATTCGACAGTTTAGGTATTAAATATTGAAAAAAGTTATTATTTTATATTTTCAAAACCTTCAGAATATTATAATTAGAAATCAACACATTGTTGTGGTTAAATAATTCAAACTGCGGGCGCAAATAAAACGTTACAGAAAGTGAAGAAGCAGAGCAATAAAGATAACAGAAGTAATTTTAAAACAACATGTTTTGAATAAACAAATCAACAATAAATAATAATAGTTGCTATACATTTCTGCTTTTCCTTAAAATCTAAATACATAATTTCCTTAAAGTTAATATAATAATTTTATTTAAAACAGTATTCAAGGATTTTTATTATAATCTTAACTATGCAATTGAAAATATACAATTATTTTAACGATGTTCAATTACATTAAAGCCTTTTCATTCGCGATATCGAAAAACGTATTTTCCACTTTTTTTTTTTGCTCAGTAAGCAATAAGCAAAATACACACATATGAGTTAAATCACGAACCATTCTATTAGTTATAGACATATACTATAGACTGGATAGATTTATTAGATATTGACAAATTAAAACCATTTTAAGTGCGAAAATATAAAAAGTAAAAATAGTCACAGATATACGAAAAAGAATTGAAAATACGAAAAGCAATAGCAAGATAATATTTATGGCATTTATCAAAACTGATTCCGCATTGAATTCAAATTTAAATGTATATATATATGTAAGTATATACATACATATATTCAGAACCTAAAATTATTTAATTTCGTTAAAAAACTTAACATAATTACGGAATGCTATGATAAGAGGCCTCAGAATTGAAGCAATAAATCGGTATGAGCAAAAAAAAAAAAAAAAAAAAAAAAAAAAAAAAAAAAAAAAAAAAAAAAAAA